TTGGGATAGATATATAGTTGCATTCTCTTAATGAATAGAATGATTTGTTCTAATGGTGTTTGTAAATAGGATCACAATTCCGCATCTTGTACAGCAATTAACCACTAAGAAGAATATATGCAGTGTATTATTTGTTGAAAGTGTAGTTCCGATTTGATTTGAAATTGTCTCATTGCTATCTGTTTATCAATAAAACTTTGAAAAATAAAAAATAAAAAGAAACCATGGTTGAATACCTCTTTGTCTTCTAAATGTGTACCTTTTCTAATTGTCAGTTATTATACTCTCTTTAAAACAAAAAATACAAGGAAAAAAATTAAGATTTCTTGAAACAAGCTCTAATGCTTAATTATTTCCCCAATCTTGCATAATTGTATCTTAATCTGAGCAACAGATTTGAAAGTAAAAAATAGATAATATAACAACCATTGTTAATTAGCTATTCCTATTTTGAAAATCTATAACATATGTATTATTGTACGTTCCTTGTTTCTGTTGTCTTTTCTATATTTTTGCACCTGTTTTTATTCTTTAAAATAAAATAAAAGTAAAGTAAAAATTAAGAAAAAAAAACTAGGACTGGGGATAAGCACTTACCTGGCAAGCACAAAGTCCTGAGTTCAATGACTGTTACTGAAAAAAAATCAAAGAAAAAGAAACTATAATACAATAAGAGTTGTTGTGTGTATAGTTCACTTAATATTTTAATATATGTGCTACTGAAGAGAGCACCCACTCACTTAAATATCAATTCATGACTTCCTTGGTGATCTCAAGCTTCAGCTGATAAAATTTCTGATCTAGATTGAAAGCTGACAGACTAGATTAAGACTTAGGCTCTGGAGACAGGAAGACCTGAGTTTCTGGCACTTGTAGTGGCAGTGTCATAGGCTAACTGTACAATGTTTCTGGTCCTCAGTCTCCTCATATATTCAGTGCTGATAATAAATAGTTCCTATGTCATAATGTTAAATAAGCTAATTCACTTTCAGGATTTATGCTGGCTCACCATAATTACTGAATAAAATGTAGCAGATACAAATATACAGATTGAAATTCAGATCAACATTTCAACTTACCATAATATGTCACATAAACATTAAAATTTTTCAAAAATCCTTTTATATACATGTAACACATATTATAGGTCCCCAATTAGATATGTACAAAAAAGAAAAAGACTAACCTCTAGAAACATTTCTAATTTCTATTTCACCATAGATAGAGTTTCCAGAAGTGGTGGCCTTCTAAGTAAACCTTGTCATTTCCTACGACAAACCCTGAGATTATATCTTATGAACCACTGGGAATAAAATACAACATAAGCTATATGCTCAATTATTGTTTTCTATTTCTTGTTTTAAACTGTAGGTACCCCTTACACTGTAGCTAAAATCACTGTGGATGCTGAATTGCCTAATCTCCGTGGACAAGCCTGGGTTGGAGCTACAAAGATGTATTTTTCTAAACTGGGATTGTGCTCTTTGTTTTAGCACATGGTTCCAAACTTGCCCTTTAATGTGAGTTATTTCTGCAGGCAACATTGCTCTAGTAAGCAATTTCATGGTTCAGATTTTGACTGTAGAAGGAAAGGCACTCTGTAAATATTTGTGGACTAATTGTTCTACCTGAAGCAAAATGTTTTAATAGTATTTGATCATCTTCCACAGGAATACCAGAAATTCCTCATTTTTGAGACTTTTCAATCTTTTAAACATTTTATTTCTAACTTCCACTAATTCTTTCCAGGAATTTCCAGTCTGCTATCTCCCTTTTGGTAAGGGTATGCTCGAGATAGGATTCAAAGAGACACCCTCCAAGACTCACCTATGTGAGCTTCAGGGTAATCAACTCCTTTGCCCTGGCAGGAAAACACAAGCATAGCCTTCAGGGGATCTCATCCTATGGACCTGGCACAAAGCCAAACTCTTACCTGTTCCAAGAATTAGGATCCAGTTAATATCACTCACTTATTGCCATAAAATTAACGATATAATAAAACACCTCATTGTTTTAGTTTGTTGCCTCCCTCATTATCAATTTCTGTTTTGAAAAACCAGAAGGGAGTTGCAACAGTTAGGACTTTGTACAAATGGCTTCCCAGATGGGCTGCAAAACCCTAAAACATAAAACTCTCTATACTACTGACAAATTTTATCAGCTGTAGGTGGCCATGCTCTAAACCATAATGACCTTTAATATTCCAAGACTTGAATCAAATAAGTCTAGATATCACTGAATAAAATGTTGGATTTTAATTTAAAATATTACATGAACTTCAATGACTTTGAAGACAGACATTTAAACTTTTCATTGTAGTACAAAGGCCTCTTAAGACAGACAGAATTCTTGGTGATACCAGTAAGAAGATTACTAAACTATTTGACAAAGTTACTTTCAGAGAAAAAAAAAAGCTTTCTATATTTCATCCCAAATAGCACACCACTGTAATCATTATTATATTAAATATTTCCAACTTGGGCAAAAGCATTATTAACAGAAAGGAAGCAACTGTGTAGTGCTGCCTCAGGCCTATGAGTTGCCAGGACTTGTTGCCAAAAAGTCTGGATATCATGCAAAGCATCTGGAAAGCAGGCTACTTGTTACCTGGGTGATCTGATGGCCTCATCAAGCCTGCTGCCCTGCCCTCCACAATCTAAAGAGCAACAAATAGAACACGCAGGGTGGTGTCAGCTTCCATGGCTGCAAGCCTCCAAAGCCCCATCACTAGACACACCCTCAGCACTGGCCTGGAACTGAGTGATATCCCAGAGAAGACAGGTAAGGCTCCTGTTCTAAACACAGGAGGCTTTGCCCATGACTACTTCATACACCTTGTAAACCACCACTGGAATTTGGAAATATCAAAACTTTACAGTAAGGATAAGAGAACTGGGAAAAAATATTTCCTGAGACTTGAAAGGAAAAAATCATTAAAATAGTTTTTATACTGGCCCACTTGTGTTTTCTTAAGGCTAGCTAAAACCAAGGAAGGTGTCTTCCTGTCTTGAGACTCTCCCAAGATCTGAGGGTAAGCACTCACCCAGGGTACAAGGGAACTTGCTGCCTAAGATAGTGGTGCTGAGTCCAAAAAATGATATGAAATCCTCAGAAGAAGATGTGTAATATATTTGTTGAATCAAATCATGATTTTGTAAGGGGAAAAAAGACACATAAAAATCCACTTACTGTTTGGCAAAAAAAAAAAAAAAAGAAAGAAAGAAAAAAGAAAAAAGAAAGGAACAGAAAAAAAAAACCTTTCTGAATTCAGTGCAAATTCACTTCAAGGGAGCTGTAGATCAAATTACCACCCTCTGACCTTGGGGACAGGCTCAGCAGCTGACTAGCAGTAACTCAAATTCTAATGCTTCTGGGCTACTCTTGAACCCATAAGCTACACCAAAAATGATCCTGTTTGCTGAATTTTTGACTGCAACAGCTGATATAACAGCTCAGATAATTTTAATATGTATACATTGACCAGGAGAGTAACCACTTCAAATATTCTGTCATAGAGTCCTCCCCTTTCTTTCAGTCCTTCAAGCTGGAAGCAAGAGTTACTCTGAGAGATCAAAAGCCTGAGTAACCATGGGTACAGATTCAAGGAGGTCACATAAGGACTAAACGTAGACCTGGAATCCCAAGTGGAGAATTCACAGAAGAAAAACATATAAAAATATACTCATATGTTTAGGAGTATTTAAAAATGTGTTTTATAAAAATATAAATGTACTTCAAATATTATGATGAAGACACTATATGATAAATAAATTTCTCAGATGAATTGGTATTTACCAAAAGTATGTGCAATGTCCTAAAAGGTTAATATGTGAATGGAATTTTAGAGTTTGCAGCAAAGTCCTGCTTGGCATGTACAGTTATGTACCTTCTATAATAAATCAATTAAATAGGATATAAGACCCAAATTGTTTTCCCTGGAGCAAAGGTTGCAACTGCCAGAACTTCCAAGCAAGGATGCATCCCTTTGGGCTACACCAGGACTTTAAGATGTTTGAGTATGAGTGAATACATCTAAGTGGGAATGTGGGCTGAGGATTGTCTCAGTGACAGAGCCCTAGCCTACTCTGACTAACATACACATATACAAACACATGTATGTACACACATGCACACCCATGCACATGAAGCAATGGGGAGTGTGTCCCTTCATTGTCCAGGAATGATCACACACCATGTCTTAGTTACTCTTCTCTTGTTGCTGGGTCAAATAACCAACACTTAAAATGAGGGAAGGAAAGGTTTACTTAGCTCACAGTTATTTAAGGTTTCAAGACACTGGAGGAGAGGCTGGGGCACTGCTTTGTCCAGGCTGACACTCTCCACATCTCTGAGAAAGCATAGGCTAACCAGTTCAATGGTTCTCACCTCTCTGGCCCCTCCCTTCAAGCCACTCGTTGCTCCTCCAGCCACATCTGCCCCATAACTTACATGAGGCTTTGGGAGGGACAATGAGACACAAACCATAGCACACCATTATCTTACCACACCCCCAATCATACATTCTTAGGCCTAATCCTTAAAGTATTTCAGATTCCAACACCTGCTGTTGGGTCCTGTCTTTTTAAGGAAGCCAAAAGTCAAATTGAAACATAGATTTAACATGGCTGAGTAAAGGAGAAGTCACATGAAAAAGACTTAAAAAAGATCAGCTAGTTAAGCAGGGGAGAGACCCATTCTCCAACACAGTCAGTTTGAAAGAAGATACTTGTAGATTAAACAAAACATATGCATAGTGTCTCCTCTGGCTCCGGGTCAGGTAACCAAAGAAGCTGCATCTGGGGAACACTACTGCTCTCTACTTTCTAAACAGCCCATAAGGGTTGTATTTATCCCTAACAAAATTTAGAATATTGAAGTTTAATGCATAGAAGACACTTTATTTGTAAAATGGAAAAGGAAGGAGAGGGAAGGAGACATTAGATAGCTACCCTATCAAGAAAGAATTAGGGTACAGGTCCCTAGAAAGACTGCGGACCTAGGGACACTTTGTTCTCAGCTGCTTTTATAGGAAGGTGAGTGACCCCTTCCCCCAACCCAGAACTTACTGTAACTGCCTTGGTTTCTGGGCAAGTCAGTCAAATGTGGTCTCTTCTGGTGATTACATGCAGCTTCTTCCTGTTGGTTTACTTGTCCCTGACCTATTTTTTAACTTACATGTGGAGTGGAAAGTAAGTTGTCAAAGAAGCATCTTATACATGGTCATCTTAGAGTTAGTAAGAGGGCATATGGATAACTATTGTTTTCTATAATGACCCTAGAGTGAATAATATAGTGATCCTAAAGCACACACACACACACACACACACACACACACACACACACACACGGATATATAAGTCCCTTCTTCCTATGATCTCTCCAAATATAGCAGGCTGAAGCCTGGCAGCATTTTCATCATCACACACAAGGGGTGAAAGATGAGGGGCGGGAGAGGCTCCCTCCCAGTCCATGTAATCTTAAACTCCAAGAGCATAAGCAAGTGAATACTGCCTGAATCTGCAGTCATAAATAATGAACCCTGGGCACTCTTTAATTACCATAGAGTGCCTCAAGTGAGTCTCACAGCAACTAGGATATTACCCAGAACACAATGCTAACACTGGTCTTGTTCAAAACTATATATGGCCCACATGACCCTGAACCACTCCCAGACTGGCTGGAGACTCTGTATGACATCAATCATCCTAGGCTAGCCAGGTTTCCACAGGGAGCTCCAATTCTCCACTAGTGGCACAAGACCCCCTGGAATATCCATTGGTGCCAGGTATACTGCTCCAATCCTGACACAATGAAGTCTCCACTTTATATATAGTCAGAGTCCTGGCACAGTCCCTACCCAGTGCTTTATGCCAGTCCTCTGCTGACTTGCTCTGTGCTCCAGATCTGTGAGATACAATCTAGCATCCTATTGCCTCCACCAGGCCTACAAGAATCTCCCCATATTAGTCCTGGATCTTCTTTGGATGCTCTAAAGCATGAGTCTCCACTTGGTGTTGAGCTGGTCCCACAGACACAGCAATATGCTTCAGATACACAACACTGATCTTAAACATTGAAATCCATGCTAGAAGCCTCAGAATCCAGTGGATTCTGGGTTGATGTTTCAACTTACCTAGTTGTCATAGAGATTTATACAGGGGGAAGTCCCTTTTAACTGAGAAACTTCCACACAAACCCAAAGACTATAAATAAGGAAAGTTATAGTTATTCTAATTATAAATAATTCAAGCAAAAACTGAGCTGAAAAGATGAATAAGGTCACTACATATTTTTCTTTCTTTCTTTCTTTCTTTTTTTGTATTTTAGGGAAGGGTCTACAGGGTGTTCAGTCTCACTACTAGATTGGACTCCTAGTGATCCACCTGCTTACAGCCTCCCAAGAGCTGGGATTACAGGCACACACCACCACACCCAGTCTCTGCTATCTCAGTGTGCTCTGGGAGCAGGGCTGGCATGGCAGGCCTGGGGACTG